ATGTATTAAGCTTAATTAGTTTTTATCACGATACGTTCAAATGTTGAATAATTCATTTTTCCTTTCAAGCATATAATAAACTAAAACCTAGTAGAAAGTTACTGATTTTAAGAGATTTCTAAGATTTGGCTTTCATGGGTAATATAGAGAACAAAACCCGCGACTTTTGTATGTGTAAGATTTACTAGAAAATCGTATTACACGGCTCAGATACTCGCACAACAATTTCTTACACAACTTACATTATCAAACGTTAGCAATATTTTCAGAAAGAATTTATCCATAAATGGAAATAAAAAGTGTTTTTCTGGGTGCGTGTTAAGTTTTTCAATTATTTGGCTTATAAAAAAAGACTTTGAGTTTCAGATTGTGTCCACTCTAAACCAGATTAGTAAGTAAAAGAAAAATTATGCTGTTCAAAATTACACAAATTTATGTTTCTTTAATTTAAATATCTTCTAACTTTAAATTTATACTTAAATTTAGATACTTCCGTTTCTTTAAAAAGTTAGTGTAGCATATTTTATGATAGATCAATAATTAAGCGCTTTGCTATTAAATCTTATTTTTCGTGAATGCCTATAATAATTAAATTGGCCATACAGCGGAATAAGAGTTAAATAAAAATAGGATAATGCAGGAGTTTATTAGCAATTCTATAAAATATTTTGTAGTTCATAACAAACAATCGATGCAACCGATACCAAAGTTTTTTGTAATGAAGTAAAGGCATACTCAACACGTACTTTTTTATAAATTTGAAAATAATCAATGCGTCCACCTTTGCAATGATACTGTATTTGATTATAGCAAAGCAAACTAGGGCTATCTGCCTAAGGGGAGGGATACCTTCGAGGGCGACTTTCTAAGGGAAACCGGATAGTATATACGTTGCACATGGGAAAAAAAACACGAAAATGCCCATGCAGCCAGCCCGTTCGCGGGATTCGAAACTCGGACCGAACTACCAGTGTTCAGTGACTTTACCGCTCGGCTGCTGGTGGGCCTCCACCTTTGCAGATCCATTTCAACTCATGGAATTTCTAACGATCGCGTAGAGTATAGCAGTGGTGATTTGATTACGTAGGAAAGACTAATGAGGAATGAAAGCAGAAAGAAAACTTTGACTAAAACTCCACAGTCAATACTGTATCCTTTCTCCATTTAATGCCAAGGAAAAAGTCTCTTGGCATTCAATGGGGATGGGAACAGTATTAGAGTAATGCCATTGACATTGGTCACCAACTTTAGTAACCAACTTTTATTAAAGTACACTCTCAAATGATCTCAATTATAGTCTGTGAGACAATCAGCCACTCAAGTACTTGTTTTGAAAGAGGTGATCCACTTAAACAGATTTTACTTCGGCAGTGGCATCACAAGTAAATTTTTCCAGTAAAACTTAGGATAAACTGAGCGCTTGCGAAAAAATTAAAAAAGGGTCTTAATAAGTTTAATTACATTTCAGGGTAATAAAATTCGGTGTCATTTGTATAGTTTATTTGGCATGAATTTTAAAACTATTTCACATATGAATAACCCCATAGCTTAAAAAGTCTGAGCTTGCATGTGAATAACACCTTAATGTATTAATGTAACACCTTAATGTATAAGCCATGAAATTTGTTATTTATGTTATACATTAATGGAAAATTATTTAACCTTTGTGGGAACAGAATTTGAAAACATAACCATTTAAATTTCTAGTACGAATTCCTGAATTTTTTAATCTTGTTTTTTTTTTTTTTTTTAGTTTTCATGTTTCATGTTGTTTTAAATGTTTTATGACTTCTTCCAAATAAAAAAAATAATAATAAAGAAATAATATAATACGTCAAAGATAACAACAATGAATATTTCAAACTGATATGAAATTAAATTTAGGATTAGTACGGTACAAAATCCAAAAGCTGGACTTCCAATATCCGGACATCTGGACAAACAACCGGAAAAAAATATACATGTAAAAAAATCTCTCCTTTCCTTACAAATTCTAGGAACAGAGAGTATAATATCTTCAACAAAAAGAGGAAGTGGGCCATAAACGCTACTAACGGAGATTCCTGCGTAACAGTTTCAAACACTTGCTAGCTTAAGGGAGTGGCACCATGGCCATTTGATGTTATCCAGAATGACACGTTTGGCCCTTGAATGGTTGCGGAGGGTTAGAATTTCTCTATCTGACCCAAACAATAAATGAAGCTTCACTGTAGCCATGTCTATATGTCCTCTTACTAAATTTAAACTAGTGACCTAAAATCCGGAAATTTCCAAAATCCAGAATCGTCGATGTCCCGACAATTCCGAATCTTGGACTTTATATTTTAATATTACTTGTTATACAAAATAATGATATAAGGAATTCAGAATATAAAAGTATGCATTTTTAATAACGATTAATCACTATTTTAGTAGGGGATTAAAGAATTTGTTTTGCTATGAATAAACCTGCTGCTTTTATGGAAAATAATAATACTAATGACAACAACAATAATAAAGTAACATATTCTTGCTTACACTTCTACAAAGTGTATTAACCAAATCCGTTTACTCCTACCATTTGGGAAGGAAAATGTGAATTTGAGAAAATTAATAATATTTATAAAAGGGATAAAATTAAAGTATTTAAATTTTATAGAGTGACGTTATAAGAACTATGGTTATTTTAACTCACAAGCTAAAATTGATAAAATTTTGGCTGCGATTTTAATCTGCTGTATTCTGCATTTGTTGTCAGTTTCAAAGAAATGGCGACTAAACATCTCTTAAATGGTTGACAGTAGATCTGTAGTTTCTAGTAAAAGAAATGAATAAAAAAAATACATTTTCATATTATAAGAATTTTAGTCATATGATACTGTAGGGTTTTATTTATTTTTACCAATAGTTATTTTAATTTGTGAGCCTTTCCCGCTTTTTCTTATTCCCCTAAGGTTTCCTCCCCAGGATGTAATTGTGTTAACTTGAATAGAAGAATTTAAACCGCTGGAGCGAAAAGGTTAGACATTGCGTGATTTCGCTAGTGTGAGCGGACTCTTCTATTTTCATCCAGGTGTTAATCTTAATACCGTCTTCACTACTGCAGTCTGGCACTACTCTTTACATTTAAAATGTTACATTATCTTTTAAGTTTTCACTGCAAGGTTTAGGTGTTTGTAAGCACGTAAGTCTGTGCTGTCTTTTAAGTATATTGCGTTCAATAAAATGGTCTTTTACCCCCTACCCCTATTGTGTTCATCTTCAAGCTTGTGCGAAAATTCGCAAGGATCAACACTTGACGTAGATCTAGTCCATAATAGCTTAAAGAACTAGAGCTTACTATACATTTTATTAAATGCTTGCAGAATTTATATTTTATACGGCCCTATATGCTTTATTTTACTAAGACATTTTAGGGAGGGGGAAGCTATAATATACTGAACTGGGTATAATAATTGTCAAAACTGTGTGACTTAAACTACATCTACTTGAAGAAAAGAGCATTGATTTAGGACTCGTGTGAAATTGAATTCTGCTAAATACAAAAGTTCTGATTTTATCAGACTAGTCTACAAATGACAACTGTAAATAACTAATATTAATTTTTCTAGTATATTTTTTAATATATAAGATGCGTTTAAAAATTGCGTTCGAAAATATGATACTTTTCAGATATTTTCATTTACACAAGGAAGACGTAGGTGACATCTTCGTCTGGCCCCTTTTACGACTAGCTTTTATGAATTCTGACCTACAAAGTTTCTATTGCTTGATAGTACTGCTTGACCACAAGACTCAGAAATTCTGTTTGGAGACCTTGATCAAAATGAAGTTAGTGCTTTTAGTTACGTATTCTGATAGCGTATACTCATCATACATTTTTGCATCTGTCTATGAATAATTTTTTGGGTGGGGGACATAAAATTTAAGCAGTTTTTTCTCAAGGTATATAATGTTTGTCAACAAAATATTTTACATGTGCATAAACTGAACAAGTGTATGTAGGAAGGTAAAAAGATATTCGGTTACAATTCTTAATAATTGTCACCGTAATAACCAGCGATGTCAATGCGTTTCTTTAAGAAGACTAAATTAGAAAAAAGACCAAAATTAGCACCGAGAATGAGCATGAAGTATGTTTAATGAGTGTAGTATTTCAAAAAAATTAAACTATAACCTTCTCAGTCGGATGCTAACAAGAAAATGTTCTTGCTAATTTCCATTCTCTTTCAAATTAATTTCATTTAACATATCTATTTTCATTACACGGTTCATTGTTTAATGCGAAACTCTGATTCTTTGGTTCCTGATGATATCTGAACTGTGTTGAAAATCAAGAGCTACATGTGGAAGAAATTAAGATGACTAAAGTGCCGTTATCAGAATAATTACGAAACAGAAGGTTAACCGAGAAAAGGAGAATTTTGCGAGTGTTACAATTCAGAGAAGAAAGAAGCCCAGGTTACAACTTGTAGTTTATCATCTTAAGAAATGCAATGAGACTGACTGGCTGTGCTAAAGAATGATAAATAATAATATTTGAAAAGTGGGAAAATGGTAGGTGTTTTGAAATTATTACTGTGAAATTTAACAGATATTTGAAATTGCACTCCTGAACAATAATTCAAGTTTTATTTTTTTCTTTTCCGTTAATGGAATTTTCCTTCAAATAATATCAAGAACTTGCTGCAATGAGGGGTAAAGAGAACACCAATTGTACCTCAAATTACAATTCCCTCTTTTAGAAATGTCTTTCATGCATTTTTTAGCAGTGTTCTTAAGGCAAGTGAAGTTGAAAACAAATGTTTTACTGTTACAGGCCATTAAAAAGCAGCCACAGAAAAAAAAAATTTAATTCCGGTATTTCGGAAGTTTTATCCTCTATTTAGCATGCAAAATCAAACAGTAGAAAAATTGATTGACGATTGCGCATAACTCATGTCTTGAAAGTGCTCTTATTAGGAAAGCAACCACAGCAAAATTCCATTTACTGTCCACCTACGAGCTGAAGCAGATAAAAACAAATCACTTTTTCGGCTAAGTTCAACTTCGCTTGGCCGCTTTTGATAGGTCCTTTCCTTCGAAGCGTAACCTAATTGCGTGACGGTAAGAAGAAACACGGTGAAAAAAACACAACAAACAAGAAAGGGCAAATGATACGTTTCTTATTACTGAGTGGCACATGGCTATTGGCTTTACTTGAGAACCAAGATGGAAAGGTGATAAAGAAATTCAGAGCGCGAAAAAATAATAAGGTTTTTCTATTTCACGATTTTAATCTGAAATTACTCTACGCCGTCAATTTATTTTGCGGATCTGAGAGTGAAAGTGTTTCCGTGGATTATTCGGACATTTCAAATTTTATTCAGCATCACGTTCTAGAGAGCTTCGTTGCCTGCTTGAGTGGAACTGCTAATTCTCAGTGAATGGAGGAATTGAAAAACACTGCAATGCTTAAATGAGTAAAGGTGAGTACGTTTTATTTACTTTACTTCGCACTGTATCTTTATTTTGATATTTAAATATGATATTTCTATGAATGGAAAAGGCAGTTAAAAGTTTTTGAAGATATCTATAGAAAAGCTACGAATTTTTCTTTTTAAAAGAGTGATTTTTAATTCGTTTAATTTTGCATATATCACTGATCTTTTCCGTATTTTCTTTTTTGTTTGTTCATAAATCAATAATATTATTGGAATTAATTTCTATTTTCAGTGTATAAATACGTACATATAAGTCCTTTTGGCGATTTAAAATAACAATAAAAATCTGCAAATGAGTATAGCCAAAAAATACCGGAAAAAAGAGACGTAAAAACTAAGAAAAACTGAGGTGTCTATTTGAATGTTCGCTTTACGTCACCTTGCTTTAACGAAAGACCTGAATTTCATTAATTAGTAAAACGAAACCGAAGAGGAATTTTGCTTTTACGATAAAAAAAGTGCGAAAAGGGAAAATCTTACCAACTGATCTTCGAAAGTTGTCAAAATTATCCTAAATTATCTTCCCAATTAAAATTCGCAATTTATTTCTGAAATCAATGCATAAAACAAATAGTCCGCCGTAGGTAGTGAAACATGCTGTCTTATTTCAAACTTTTTAAATGAATTACAAATCACAACAAAACTTCGATTTTCGACGATAAGTACAGAAAAATATCAGGCCGATATAGAAATTTCAGTCACAGTGACCTGATGTACTCAAGCGACAAAATACTAATAGATTATTTTTGTCGTTTCTGTTTTATATCTTAGGTATCTTCCACTATAGAATCTTCAATGACTCAAAGACCATCGTCTAGTCCGTCCTTCTTTAATCTTCAAGATTTCCCATTATTTTCTCAGTTTTGAAACGGAAATTATTCTGTACTCATTCCTACGTTAATCCTCTCTCTATATGTATACATATGGACATTCATACCATTCTTTTTTTCAGTTTTATTTTAAGACCTGTTTAGTAAACTGTGTGCCACTTCGGTAGTAGGAAATAATTGTTGAAAACTTTGGTTATAAGCCATCCAAGAAAAATTTGCATGTCTGTGTCCTGAATAATTAAACTTCGGTTTGTTGAGTTTGGGAAAAATTTTCAGGTGAAATTAATTCACAGAGCAGTAATATTAGAACAAATTTTCTCCTTTATCACTAGCACTGATAATCTAAAGACTTTGTTTCAAAGGTATGACTTCATGTTCTTTGCATTGAATTAATTCTTAAACTAGTAGCCTAATGTACCTGTCGAGTTTTAAATCATTTCAAATATTAAACCGAATGCTGAATGCGTACAGATTATTATTTTTTTAAAATTTTATTTTCATAGTTGACAACTCGTAAACCTGTTTCTAATTTTTAAAAATTTTTAAAAGAGTAAATTTTTAATCATGATGTTTTAAGATTGCATTTATTCCGCACCTTATGAAAGATCAAAATCCTTCTCATCATATAAATTAATGATACAGCTTTTCGCTGTTTCAGCTTACGAAAGGTTGCATAAGAAAAAGCTACTGTTCTACATAGGGTGTTTACACATTTTTAGAACGATTCTGGAACCGTTTAATAAATGCTTAAAATGTAAAGAGTATTTTTTTTAATGTTCAATCTGATAGCCTTTTATCTGAGTTATAAGTCTGCCTCACGATTTCGATTATAGAACGGCTTTTCGTAAAATTTTTGCGGTTATTGATTTCCATTCTTCTTCCACTACTTTGTAGAGCCCATCAATCGAGGTGGGTTTGCGCTTAGAAACAGCATTTTTTAAGGGATTCAAGGAATCGTGTTCCATAGGTGAAACATTAGAGGATTTTTAGGTATACTTTGAAAAGGTATATATGCAATACCTGTATCATTTTTCATTTATTCAAGGAATGCAGTGGTACTTTTCGAAGAATGATTTCGCTTTATCTTATTCAAGTTGTACGTTGGTTGATTTTTAACATATTTCCCCTTTTTCTTCCTATTTTTGATTTCTCATTGTAAGAAAATCCTACACAATCATAAATCGATAATTAAAACTTTCTTTGCATTGTCAGAGCTAGGTATGTACATTTTCTTTCTTATTTTAATTTTGGATCATAAACAGACCTTATTTCGTTGAAGTTATTTAGGTAAACGCATGCTTCATCAAGGACGTAATGTATTTTCATTTATCTCTGGCTAAACAATTTTCATACAAGGTTCTTCAAATTATTTATCATTAAGCCACATGCTTCGGCAAAAGTTGGTGAATATTTTGTTTTTAGTTTTTTTTTTTACTCGTAAATCTTGGTTTATTGTTGCATTTATTGTTTCTACAGTTTTATTTAAAAACTTTATATTTGATTTCTGTGTTGGCGAATTTTCTCTTGTTAAGAACGATTTACATTGAGAAACATTAAGAAACAGTACGTGTCTTTTCGGATGCCTGTTTAGAGTCTTACTTACATGCAGAAGTAATGACTGAAGACTTTTCCCTTTAATATTACTAATGTCGCTTATTTTGCGCTTAGAAATTTTAATATCATGTATTTTACAGCGTTTTTGAGTTATGGAACAGAAATATTTCTCTTCGGAAAGCGCAAAAATATATTTTAAATTCATAGCGTGTTTACATGCGATATGTTGAAAAAAGAATAAATATTTAAAAGTAGCAGACAATATTTCTTATTTCATATAATAAGCTGTTGCCAGAAGTTTTATTCGAAAATATATGCGTTTTTAAAAAATTCTTTATGGAAGTCGTTTTAAAAATGTGTAAACACCTGTGTATTTCCGTAAACTAGGGAATACTTATATACAAAAATCAGATCTCAAAATTTGTATTTCCATCAACTATTAAAAAAGGAATTTATAAATTTTAGTCGACCGTCTGGTTATCCATCTGTTGATATATATGGTTTTGACGTAAATAATTTCTATTTATATGACTGGAGGATGGAAGTTCAGATTTATTTCTGAAAACGTAGTATTGATATCGCTGAAACAGCCTGGATAGTTGCTTACATAGTTAGTTAAATAGCAAAATCAATCAATACGTGCTTGTTGATGTTTACTGCAATTTACATACATCTGCTAAACTTCATAAATCCTGTATCCCAGAAACATAGTTTATAAGTTATATAATTGTGTTAAGAGTGTCCACTTGAACAGTGCAATTCATTCTACTAGAAGCTGTTGCTTATAGACGATTATAAATGTTGTTATGGTTTCTCTTTGATGCTGCGATTTGGTGATTTTAAAGACATTCCCTCTATATCCTGTTTTAGTTTAACAAGCTTTCTCTCTTAATTAGTCTTTCAATTAAAACGTTCCTAAACCTATAATTGTAAAAAAAAAAAAAAAAAATTAAAAAAAAAATTAAGACCTTTTTGACAGAATTTTTTTGCATTAGTCTAGAAGGAACGCAGATTTATTTAGGTAATCGCGACAGCAAACGAGTCCGTTTCTTCAAATTAAGAAAAGTTTAAATCTTTCAGAAACGTTTCCAACAACCGGGGGATAAAAACTTAACGTATTTGTTCACGCTTGGTGACCTCGGTGAAAATACAGATAGAACTTGCATCGTAAATGAAAACGTCACTAGGAATTTACCACAAAATGACCAACTATCCATTTTTTTTTAAATACTGAATGAGAGAAATCTCATTAAATGCTATTGAATTTAGTCATATCCCTGCTAAATTTCTCGATACTTAATGAAATTTTAAGACTGAAAGTCTTACAGTCATGCAAAAGTGTGTTCATGGAGAGTAGTCATGGAAAGTTCATGGGAAATTGTTTTATCTATGTAGTCTAAGCTTGAAGTTCTTATTCTTGAGAAGAAACGTTCTGTTCTGAATTCTAGAGTTATGATCAAGGTCAGGCCTTTCAAACAGAACACATTAAACCCAATAAAAGTAGTTTTAAACAAAAACAGATTATTGCTAAAGTCATTATAAAGTGTTAAATCTTTCATATACTTCTGAAACATTCCTTTTTTTAAAAAAATAGTTTGAGTGCTTGATTACTGAATAAATGAGCAAAATGATAGTGGTTGAGACAGGAGGAGATTGTGTGAAGTAAAGACATATATTTGCAATCCACTATGTCGTTCGTGACGGTACACGTTAGCAATTATTAATAATGTTGAGCAATTGCCTTGCTTTGATTCCAATATAATAATAACTTTATATAATTTAGGTTTATTCTACTTCAATCCTGCAGCTATAGCGCAGAACAGGTTTAATTTTTTAAAACTTTTTAGCCTATTATTTTGTTTTTTCTTTTTGTGTGTGCATATATGTAAGGAGGGAGTTTACATTCTTTGTATTACTAGAAGATTTCAATATAACTGTTGAATTTTTTTTATTAGAAACTATACTGCATAGTAGTATAATTAACATCAGCCTGTTATAGGACGTTAGAAATCTATTTTATTTATAATGCTCACCGCGTAAAATAAATGTCTTTGAAAATGTTATTAACAAGTGCTGATAAAATGTCTTTTTAAATAATTAACTTAACGTTGCATTCAGGAAAACATTTCTATATTATCCATGATAAATGAGCCGTTCAGCGGCCGAACGGTGAAGTCGCTGAACACTAGCAGTTCGGTCCGGAGCTTGAATCTTTGTAAACGAACTGACTACATGGGCATTTTCATCGTTTTCATTATGTGTAACGTGTATACGAGCCAGTTTAAGTCATCCATGAAATCACCCCTCCGCTTAGGCAGATAGCCCTCGAGTGCTTTGTGATAAACAAATAAACTAAAAACCAAAACGATGATAAATGAAAGTTCTTATTCATTATCAATTGGCAATAGCATATTTTTAATGTAGATGTGATTTTTATCAAAACTAAAAATAATTATGTTTCGAAGAGGTTCTTTCGAAAAAACTTCTTTCAGGCGTTTAAAAAGAAAAAGAAAAAATGTTTAAGAAATCCATTTTATATAAACCAAATATGTGATTTCGACGTTAGTTATATAAACGGCTGTATCCGTTTCTTTCCTTCAG